AGGGATTCTGTCGAATAGGGGCCGCGTCCCCAGTAGCTATGTGGTGGCGCAACAGGTCTGTGCAGCCAATATCATACTTGTGCCTGCTAAACACGTCAGCGAACTCGAGTAGCAAGCCCCTCAATGCACCCAACTGCACACTGGACAAGGTACTGGACCCGGCACACAACGAGTCCAACCACTCCGTCCCCTCCTCACTTCGGGGATGCGTATCGGCACTCGAATCGGCGTGAGCAACGAGCTGTTCCTCAACGGGTAGCGGCGCGGCGTGAGCCAGCACCGTTCCCTGCGTAATCACGGCCGGCCGCGACCCCGTATTCAGGACCACAACGAACGGCTCACTGTCCCCTCTCACCATGGTCTGGGCCACCGCTAAGTCGAGGTCCCCTTTAGCCCTGTTAGACGGCCCCAACAGAACTCCCTGTGCCCCCTCATCCGCCCCAAGGGGTTTTCTCAACCGAAGGGGTACCAACATTTGCGATCCCGGGGGCACCCGTACAGTCCGGGTTGCCAGCGCCTGCACCGTCGCACAAGCCGTGCGTATCTTATTTGGACTCTTCAAAAACTCAACCCGCCGTCCCGACGGAAGCTCAATGCAGGCCTGGTCTATGAGAATTTTGATGGGCATTTTAGACAGAAAGTCCGTGCCTAGTAAACAAGGAACGGCCAACGATGATGATACAAAAATAGGACCCGCCAATTTAATGTCGCCAATACAAATATTCGCCCGAATCTGGCCGATGATTCCCAAAGATCCCCCGTTCGCCGCGTAAAATGGTACGTCCACCGGCAGAAGGGGTCGACATTGGACGGGAAGAATATTATAAATAAGGTCCGAAATGATAGTGGCCGACGCACCCGTGTCCACGAGCACCCGGACCTCAACCCCGTCAATGTACCCCGTTACCACGGACGACCCGGCCGACGCAGCCACTATCCTGTGGGCCAATTCGGACCACTCGACTGCCTTCGGGCCGTACGCGGACCCCTCTCGCCGAACCGAACCCCCGGTGCCCATACACGGTCCCCCCACCGCTAAGCGGCGACCCGAACGTGCCGTGCGTGTGGACCGAACGTGTGAGGTGCCGCGACTTGCCGGGTTCAGCTGGGATGTCTTGAGGCCCTGGTCGTCGTCCGGACGTGGTCCCGCGGTGCGTTGACGCGGGGCCCGGCACCCGGACGCGACGTGGCCCCGAAGGCCGCAGTTGTAGCAGACGACGAGGGACGTCGCAGGTTTCGGTTGCTCCAGCTTGCGGGAGGAGCGTGTGGGCGAACGACCTCCCGTTCTCCACTCCCCTGGCCTTGAACCAGCGAAGGCCTCCTCCCGAGGCACAGCAGGCTGAGGTCCGATGATCGTGGCGGCCGGTGCCCCGTTCTCCACCGATGCGCAGACGACCGTCGGCTTCCGCTTTAGGACCTCGTAAGCGTGAATACTCGTGGCAATCCCCAGGGAGCAGATGTCCATTTCGTCCGCCGTATTAATGGGAACCCCCAATCCGTGAGCCAGCGCCAGCAGCTGCTCCGTCACCATGGCGTCCTTCCCCTCCTTGTCCATGCGGGGAAAAGCTGAGTCCGCCAGGGCGAGCAGCGCCGTGCGATAGGCGAGCGTTGTTTCTCCAACCACCTTCCGCCGATCGTAGAACTGGTGGCGACAGGTCGAGGGCGGCCCGAACACCTTGGCCATCAGGTGTAGCGCGGCCTGGAGCGTTGAGCGGGACGACCTCGGGGCAGACGTGAAGGCCGCAAGCGCGTCGTCGTCGAGCATCGCTGGCAGCGCGCGCAGGGCAGTGGTGTCGGACCACCCCGACATTTCTTGATGCGCGATGAACCGTCGCTGGAAGGCTCCCCAGTCGCCCCCGTCCGCCTTGAACACCGACAGCGCGGGCAATCGTTGCTGTAGAACTCGATCGTCGTCGTGGTCGTTGAAACGATTTTCCCCCGCTCCGCTGTGGTTGTAGAAAATGTCGGCTCCCTCTGCAGGCGCAAAATGGAGAGCTCCGGCGCTCGCCGATGACGCGGGCTGCGCTGTGTGGAGATCTCTGGCCACGTGGTGTCCGCGTTTCCCGCCAACCGGTGGCGGACCCTCAAAAATGGCGCCAACTCCAAAACTTTTGGCGCGAAACGCCTTATGGCGGGAACCCTCCAGCCGCGCCGCCTCCTCCAACCCCGCAGGCGTTCCACCGGCCGCTGGAACGGAGATCTCCGCCAAGATCGCAGCGGCGGCGAGCAGCAACTCCGCCAGGCGGGAGTGTGCGTCCTGCAGGCTGGTGTCGGAGGCAAGCGGAGCATCGGCCATTTCTGAGAAGTGCTGCATCGGCGGCAACTCCTCGTCCTCTCCTCCCGAGGGTGGTGTCACCGGTACGCCGTCGTCTCCCCGGTCTTGCACGTGGGAACGAGAAGTCTTCCTTGTGTCCATTCTCCTTGAAGACAGGTTTACTTCTGACGCCAGTTGTAAAGTAGTAACTCGGCAGGAGACGACTTCACGGGTAGCACACTCTTTATTTTCACCAACTTGTAGTTACACGGATGACTAACACCCTACTTCGTTACACGGGTGACTAACACCCCACTTAGCTACTCGGGTGACTAACACCCACTTAGCTACACGGGTGACTAACACCCACTCAGCTACACGGGTGACTAACACCCACTCAGCTACACGGGTGACCAACACCCACTCAGCTACACGGGTGACCAACACCCACTCAGCTACACGGGTGACCAACACCCACTCAGCTACACGGGTGACCAACACCCTCCTTAGCTACTCGGGTGACTAACACCCACTCAGCTATACTGACACGGGCTCTCACGCCCCGTAGCCTTCCGGGACACACCCAGCCGGGGTGCCCATCTCGGCTCTGGGTACCACCGTCCCGACCCACACGGGCGTCGGACTGCGGTCCCCCAGTCTCGGCTCCGAGCCGCACAGGGCCCCGGTCCTCACAAGGACGGCGGGACTAGGGGTCTCGGGCCACTACCTCCTCCACCCCGTCTTCGGTCTTCAACTGGTTAACACTGACCACGAGTGCTCTCGCGCGTCTCCCTTTATACCCCTCCTGCGGACGTCGCTGAGAGCACCCACTTATCTGACCAATCACTGCGCACTCGCTACGATCCTCTTTTCCCAGCTTGTGTCAGCGCGCCTTACCACCGGCGCGCGCGTCCATACCACGCCCACATCGCGTGCCCAACCCCGCGCCCCGTGATCCATCACTGTCGGCGCACGTCAATACCACCACTACATATACAATATGTTACATATACATATTGAAGAAGATATCTTGGCTAAATTTTTTTTATCATACATGCAAACAAAAACACGGTCACATTTTTCCTCATACAAAAAATAACACGGTCACATTTTTTTTGATAGGCCCTTTAGTTATCGTTCGCCCTAGGCAGAGTTCCTACTGTGGCCTATTGGATAATACGGCCCTGGTGGGTCGGTGAGTGGCTGAATGAGATAGTGGGCGAATGAGTGGGTGAATTAGTTGGTGGGTGAGTGGATGGGTATGACGAGTAGAGGAGTGGATGGAGGCAGCTATGGGCGTGATAGGATTGATTATTTACGTAGTGAATCACTTCTGAGACACAGATAGTCGGAGGCAACACACGTTTATTCTACACCTTTGCACACTGCTCACACACGGGTCAGAACAGCCAGCACGCTGTCTGACCCACGATGCCGGAGACGAAGCATCTTGGGTTCTATTCCACCGACAGACAGCCCTTATCCAGCCTCGGGACTTCCCTTTTATGCCCCCCGGCATGACCTGGCTCTGCCCTCGGCCACGCCCCCTTCTGGAACCCACCAGAAAGTTCTGGGCTATACCTCACGTGTCCCCTCGGTCACCTTTGGCCCCACATCCTTTACCCCGGCCTATCACGAGCTCCACCAGCCGGCCGGGGTGCCACATCCTCATGTCCCCTTCTTGCCAGCAGCCAGCGCCACGCGCCCGTGTGACCCACTCCGTGGCATTGCTCTGCTGGCAGAACGGCTGCCACGACCTGCTCTCCGGCAGGTCGGCCATTACGGCCACATTCCCTCTCTCTGTCAGTAACCAGCGCTACGCGCCGGAGTGACCCATTCTATGTCACTACATCCATACTGCAGTGGCTCTCAACTGGTGGGGTACGCGGATCCCCTGTGGAGACAGTACGTGACAATGTGTCCCAGAGTGTTATGTGAGGTGATTTATAAATGTGTGGGATTATACACGAGTCATTACATACTACACTAAACTGCTATTTTACCAGGTTTTAAACTGGTAGGAACCTCCTGGTTACACCAGTCCACAGGGGATTAGTGTCCGTCCGTCGTGCAGGGAGGGGCTGGATGGGGAGGGTGGGGAGGGGCTGGGTGGGGAGGGTGGGGGGTGGGAGAGGTGGGGCTGGGTGGGGAGGGGCTGGTCACCCGGTGGTGCCCTTATAAAACTCAACGTTTCACCTACTCATGCCGGCTTGTGCCCGCCCTCACAGTCGGCCATATTTGCGGAATACACCACGCCGCAGTTGACCCTGGCCATTGACCGAGCAACCCAACGTTCCTACCAGCTCCCTCCGCAGGAATGTGTTTCCACCAGATTTTTTATTGACACCCATCTCACACACACACACACCCATCTCACACACACACCCATCACACACACCCATCTCACACACACCCATCTCACACACACACCCATCTCACACACACACCCATCACACACACACCCATCACACACACACCATCTCACACAAACCCATCACACACACACCATTTCACACACACCATCTCACACACACACCCATCGCACACACACACACTCATATCACACACATCTCACACACACACCCATCTCACACACACCATCACACACACACCCATCTCTCTCACACACCATCACACACACACACCCATCTCACACACACACCCATCTCACACACACACCCATCTCACACACACACCATCACACACACACACACGGGTGCGGTGTCTCACTCGACACGGCCACGGCTCAAGTGGTACCATTTATTTGTCTTCACTGTTCACAGCGTCGCCCTCAACCCAACTGCTGCAGTCTGGCCCAGGGGCACTCCCTCCCAGAGTGGCAGCTGTCCCCGTGTGGCACAAGGTGTACGCAGCACCAGAAACCCGTAGACTCACAGAGACCCACAGACTCACACAGAGACCCTGCAGACTCCCACAAAGATCCATAGACTCACCACACATAGACCCTGTAGACTCACAGGAGACTCAACAGAGACCTGTAAAAGCATAAACAATCAAGGCTGCGATTTCCTGCTCACATGAGCAGCAATAATGATGCATTGGTGGCCGTCACCTGTTTACAGCCCAGCAGTTAGCAGCGTGAATTCCACATTGCCTTGGCGGGGACAAAGTGGTGTTCATTTGATCGACCCTGGACGAAAGGGATGATGATGATGGGCTGAGTCCAACCTCTCTCCCCCAAGACCGGGAGTTGAACTCACTCCCTTTCCCGCTTGCTGCATGGCCGCTCGCCCTACCATGGAGCCTTCACTCCGGGCGTGTTCTCTCTCTCCGTTGGGGACGAAATTAAAATACTCACTACAATAAGATCCCTGGTCATTAACAAAAGCACACCGTGTGGTGTGGTCGCTCGTCGCGACTGCGTCGTGGCTCGCCCATGGGAAAGCGCCAGGACGGGACAGCCGCCATTCGCCACAAAGTGGCGGTGACATCACCATGGCGCTTGTGCCAGGCTATGTGCACGTTAAAGCCACGTGAAGTGTCGATCGCCCGCTGGCAGGAGGTCACGGGACAGACCCAGGTGCCATGGATCGATTGACTGAGATGAGTGGCCGATGTCCCACCTGTGCCCCCTACTGTGCCAACTTGCTGTGCTTTAGCCACCCGGCGCTCCGCTCGTTGTTAATGAGCGTCGTTCCTTCCTCCGCACTCCGTTGTTGTTGGTGGGCGACTGCCTCCAACTGCCCAGTAGCAGCGTCCTTCACGAGCCTCCTCCACAGAGGCCGATCTTAACACCGCTGGTACCAGTCATCGGCAAATCCACTCAGCTCCACATCCTCTTGTACCACATCACTCCGTCTCCTCTCTAGCCCGTGCCGCACCCGTTTAGGATACGACAGACACACACATGCAGATCCAATTCCCGAAAGAATGTCAATCCACAACAAGTCACAGTTAAAGAATACTCAGGGTGATTCCCTGTCGTTTTTTACAATCGTGTCTTTAAAAATCAGCTATTTAGTACAGCAGGATTTTCCCTGGGAATATAATTGGTTTTGTTTGGGTTAGAATGCGTAAATATAAATGTTGTGTCGTTAAACCTGCCACCACCATCCGACGCAGTCAATCAGCCAATCAGGTTTGTGATGTAAACGAAACGTGGCCAAATAGTTACTGATAACGGCACAATTATAACATTCAGGTTACAGAAACATGAAGCAGACAGAGGGGGTGGCCGCTGTACCAATGTGCGGACAAAGAAGGATACACGACTCCATTGGGCAATGTTAGTCTATGTGCAATGTGAGTCTATGTGCAATGTAAGTCTATGTGCAATGTGAGTCTATGTGCAATGTAAGTCTATGTGCAATGTGAGTCTATGTGCAATGTAAGTCTATGTGCAATGTGAGTCTATGTGCAATGTTAGTCTATGTGCAATGTGAGTCTATGGGCAATGTGAGTCTATGTGTAATGTTAGTCTATGTGCAATGTGAGTCTATGGGCAATGTGAGTCTATGTGCAATGTAAGTCTATGTGTAATGTCAGTCTATGTGCAATGTTAGTCTATGTGTAATGTAAGTCTATGTGCAATGTGAGTCTATGTGCAATGTGAGTCTATGTGCAATGTAAGTCTATGGGCAATGTGAGTCTATGGGCAATGTGAGTCTATGTGTAATGTGAGTCTATGTGCAATGTAAGTCTATGTGCAATGTAAGTCTATGTGCAATGTTAGTCTATGCAAGTATATGTGCAATGTAAGTCTATGTGCAATGTAAGTCTATGTGCAATGTGAGTCTATGTGCAATGTGAGTCTATGTGCAATGTGAGTCTATGGGCAATGTAAGTCTATGTGCAATGTTAGTCTATGTGCAATGTAAGTCTATGTGCAATGTGAGTCTATGTGCAATGTGAGTCTATGTGCAATGTGAGTCTATGTGCAATGTGAGTCTATGTGCAATGTAAGTCTATGTGCAATGTAAGTCTATGTGTAATGTAAGTCTATGCGCAATGTTAGTCTATGTGCAATGTTAGTCTATGTGCAATGTTAGTCTATGTGCAATGTAAGTCTATGGGCAATGTGAGTCTATGTGCAATGTAAGTCTATGTGCAATGTTAGTCTATGTGCAATGTGAGTCTATGTGCAATGTTAGTCTATGTGCAATGTGAGTCTATGTGCAATGTAAGTCTATGTGCAATGTAAGTCTATGTGCAATGTAAGTCTATGTGCAATGTAAGTCTATGGGCAATGTTAGTCTATGTAAGTCTATGTGCAATGTAAGTCTATGTGCAATGTGAGTCTATGTGCAATGTGAGTCTATGTGCAATGTGAGTCTATGTGTAATGTGAGTCTATGTGCAATGTAAGTCTATGGGCAATGTTAGTCTATGTGCAATGTAAGTCTATGGGCAATGTTAGTCTATGTGCAATGTTAGTCTATGTGCAATGTAAGTCTATGTGCAATATTAGTCTATGGGCAATGTGAGTCTTTAGGGGGTGTAAGTCTATGGGCAATGTTAGTCTATGGGCAATGTTAGTCTTTGGGCAATTTTAGTTGACGCTGACTCTTATTTGTACTAATATACAGGAAGACAATTCTGGCTGTTGCCTGATGATGCTGGCGAATTACTGGTGAAACGTCGCGGTACTCGAATAGTATACTACACTACTATGCACTACACTATCATTGTAAATGTTATGGTGGGTTTACTCTCCAACACACAACCGGTTAGTACTGAACTAGTATACTACACTATACACTACTATGCACTACACTATCATTGTAAATGTTGTGGTGGGTTTACTCTCCAACACACAACTGCTTAGTACTGAACTAGTATACTACACAATACACTACACTGCACACGACTATACGCTACACTATAATTGTAAATGTTGTGGTGGGTTTACTCTCCAACACACAACTGGTTAGTGCTGAACTTGTACGGAATTGGCCACGTGTTGTTTACTTGACAAACCTTTACTGATTGGCTGTGTCGGGCGGTTGCGGGTTTAACAACAAATTGCTAATTACGCAATCTAACCCAAACAAACCTCCATTATGGACAGATCCGATTAGGGAAAGAATATAAAGCCACGCAAATCACTGCAAAGAATACGCACAGTGAGTCTGTGTTGCTTTTTAAATCACGTCATAAAACTCACCATTTGCACTGCAAGCATTCCCTTTAACTTAAGATTAAAAAAAACAATTCTGTTGTCCGATTGGATTACTCTTCAATTATTATTACTAGTATCATTCGCTTTCATCATCGTGCTTCATTTTATTGGAATTTGGGTAGTAGTAGTTATTGATATCGCTGCTATTATCGGCTTCCTATTTCACTTAGATTTCATTTGCATTTGTGAGTGTAGCGTTATTTTTACGTTAAAGGTAACGCGTGTTACGTCACCTGGTAACGCGTGTTACGTCACCTAGTTACGTGTTACGTCACCTGGTAACGCGTGTTACGTCACCTGGTTACGTGTTACGTCACCTGGTAACGCGTTACGTCACCTGGTAACGCGTGTTAAATCACCTGGTTACGTGTTACGTCACCTGGTAACGTGTTACGTCACCTGGTAACGTGTTACATCACCTGGTTACGTGTTACGTCACCTGGTTACGTGTTTACGTCACCTGGTTACGCGTGTTACATCACCTGGTTACGTGTTACGTCACCTGGTTACGTGTTACATCACCTGGTTACGTGTGTTACGTCACCTGGTTACGTGTTACGTCACCTGGTTACGTGTTACGTCACCTGGTTACGTGTGTTACGTCACCTGCGCACGCGGTGGGCGCCAATTTGGGCCAATCGGAGCGCTGGCTAAGTGGGGATGAGCGCATCGCCCTCGGCCAATCAGCGACGCCCGTTTGTTTGCGAGCGCGCGGCATTTACACCTCGACTGGCTTAGTTTCACATTCTACCTTTCATGTTTCTTTGGCAGTGGGGCAAAAAAACATCTCGCTCTCTCTTCCTGCAGTTTTTCAACTAACCAAGTGATTGCAATGACCTCCCCACTCCACCCTTCCTAATTTGAATTTGCAAAAAAAAGTGAAAGTGATTAGCCCTAAAACCAATTCAGGAAATTAGTTATTATCATGAAGTTTGGATTCTAACAGTTGAATATGCAATTCCTATTCGATTAACGGTATTTCAGCTTAAAACAGAAGTTTGCGTGGAACGGATTAAAAATGTTACCCGAGGGGCCACTGTACTTCAAAAAGAAAGGCGCTTTGTAAAAGAGACTATTATCATTATTATGTTGAGTGTGCGGGGAGCGGTGGCGCAGAGGCTAGGGCACCGCACAATGGAAACCCGGCGACCCCGGATCACCGGGGCGATGGCCGACATCAGCGATACCTGAACAACGACCTCCACTCCCTCCCTCCAACCCGCACTGACCAGAGTGGTGAAGTATGGCTAAAACAACCCCCGCCATGCGGCCGACACGGCGCGGTGAGGCCTTCATCATCCAGTGACGCGAAAACGGCCATCAAGAAAAACGCTCGGGAGCTAAAACCCGACATGCACCAGGGGTGATCACAGAGCAAATATTAAAACATTATTATTATTCCGCTTGTGTGTGTGTGTGACATAGGGGTGTAACAAGGGTGTGTGTGTTATCGGTGTTTGTCTGATGGGTGTGTGTGTGTGTGAGATGGGTGTGTGTGATAGGTGTGTGAGAGATGGGTGTGTAGGTGTGATGTGTGTGTGAGATGGGTGTGTGTGAGATGGGTGTGTGTGATGGGTGTGTGTGAGATGGGTGTGTAGGTGTGATGTGTGTGTGAGATGGGTGTGTGTGTGTGAGATGGGTGTGTGAGTGATGAGTGTGTGTGAGTGATGGGTGTATGTGTGAGTGATGGGTGTGTGAGTGATGGGTGTGTGTGAGTTATGGGTGTCTGTGAGATGGGTGTGTGTGTGGGAGAACATACAAACTCCACACTCACTCACCCACTCTCTCACGCACTCACTCACATTATCAGTCACTCGCACTCACTCCAGAACAGGGGGAGAACACACAACCTCCGGACAGAAAGTGGCGCCCGAGTTGAGAATCGAACCCGGGCTCTTGTCCTCACTGCGGCCCTGCCCGGTGTGATTGTGTGCATTCAGGGCTCCGTTTTGTTCTGTTCTGCCTCCAACTTCTTCACCTGCAACACACAGACCACGCTGCTCAATGGCTTTGTCACTCATGGTCTCCACAAGGACGCCATGTACGCACGGTGACCTTCTTTCGCACCATACGTAGTCAACCGTGATATGTATGTGCATTTGTTTCCCACCGTACGTTGCCAACCGTGCTATGTGTGTATGATAAACTTCTTTTGCACCGTACGTGGACAACCATGCTGTGCGTATGTTGAACTTCTTTCGCACAGTACGTAGCCAACTATGCTAACCGGAAGTGTGGAAGGACAACAAACTGTGTGTGTGTGTGAGTCTGTGGGTCACTGTGTGAGTGTCTATGGGTCTCTGTGTGAGTCTACGGGTCTCTGTGTGAGTTTATGGGTCTCTGTATGAGTCTACGGGTCTCTGTGCGAGTATACAGGTCTCTGTGGGAGTCTATGAGTCTCTGTGTGAGTCTATGCAGCTCTGTGTGAGTCTATGGGTCACTGTGTGAGTCTACGGGTCTCTGTGTGAGTCTACAGGTCTCTGTGGGAGTCTATGAATCTCTGTGTGAGTCTATGGGTCTCTGTGTGAGTCTATGGGTCACTGTGTGAGTCTATGGGTCATTGTGTGAGTCTATGGGTCTCTGTGCGAGTGTACGGATCTCTATATGAGTCTACGGGTCACTGTGTGAGTGTCTATGGGTCTTACTGTGAGTCTATGGGTCTCTGTGTGAGTCTACGGGTCACTGTGTGAGTGTCTATGGGTCTTAGTGTGAGTCTATGGGTCTCTGTGTGAGTCTATGGGTCTCTGTGTGAATCTATGGATCACTGTGTGAGTCTATGGGTCACTGTGTGAGTCTATGGGTCTATGTGTGAGTCTATGGGTCTCTGTGTGAGTCTATGGGTCTCTGTGTGAGTCTATGAGTCACTGTGTGAGTGTCTATGGGTCACTGTGTGTCTATGCGTCTTTGTGTCTATAGGTCTCTTTATGAGTGTCTACGGGTCTCAATGTGAGTGTATATGGGTCTATGTGAGTGTCTTATGAGTCAGTGTGAGTGTCTATGTGTCTCTGTGTGAGTTTCTATGGGTCCCTCTGTGTCTATGGGTCTCTATGTGAGTCTACTGGTCTCTGTGTGAGTCTACGAGTCTCTGTGTGCGTCTATGGGTCTCTGTGGGAGTCTATGGGTCTCTGTGTGAGTCTACGAGTCTCTGTGTGAGTTTATGGGTCTCTGTGTGAGTCTATGGGTCTCTTTGTGAGTATATGGGTCTTTGTGTGAGTCTATGGGTCTCTTTGTGAGTCTATGGGTCTTTGTGTGAGTCTATGAGTCTCTTCGCGAGTCTATGGGTATCTGTGTGAGTCTATGGGTCTCTTTGTGAGTCTATGGGTCTCTTTGTGAGTCTATGGGTCTTTGTGTGAGTCTATGGGTCTCTTCATGAGTCTATGGGTCTCTGTGCGAGTATACAGGTCTCTGTGGGAGTCTATGAGTCTCTGTGTGAGTCTATGCAGCTCTGTGTGAGTCTATGGGTCACTGTGTGAGTCTACGGGTCTCTGTGTGAGTCTACAGGTCTCTGTGGGAGTCTATGAATCTCTGTGTGAGTCTATGGGTCTCTGTGTGAGTCTACGGGTCACTGTGTGAGTGTCTATGTGTCTTACTGTGAGTCTATGGGTCTCTGTGTGAGTCTACGGGTCACTGTGTGAGTGTCTATGGGTCTTAGTGTGAGTCTATGGGTCTCTGTGTGAGTCTATGGGTCTCTGTGTGAATCTATGGATCACTGTGTGAGGCTATGGGTCACTGTGTGAGTCTATGGGTCTCTGTGTGAGTCTATGGGTCTCTGTGTGAGTCTATGGGTGTATGTGTGAGTCTATGGGTCACTGTGTGTCTATGCGTCTTTGTGTCTATAGGTCTCTTTATGAGTGTCTACGGGTCTCAATGTGAGTGTATATGGGTCTATGTGAGTGTCTTATGAGTCAGGGTGAGTGTCTATGTGTCTCTGTGTGAGTGTATATGAGTCTGTGTGAGTGTCTATGGGTCCCTCTGTGTCTATGGGTCTCTGTGTGAGTCTATGGGTCTCTATGTGAGTCTACTGGTCTCTGTGTGAGTCTACGAGTCTCTGTGTGAGTCTATGGGTCTCTGTGGGAGTCTATGGGTTTCTGTGTAAGTCTACGAGTCTCTGTGTGAGTTTATGGGTCTCTTTGTGAGTCTATGAGTCTTTGTGTGAGTCTATGGGTCTCTGTGTGAGTCTACGGGTCACTGTGTGAGTGTCTATGGGTCTTAGTGTGAGTCTATGGGTCTCTGTGTGAGTCTATGGGTCTCTGTGTGAATCTATGGATCACTGTGTGAGGCTATGGGTCACTGTGTGAGTCTATGGGTCTCTGTGTGAGTCTATGGGTCTCTGTGTGAGTCTATGGGTGTATGTGTGAGTCTATGGGTCACTGTGTGTCTATGCGTCTTTGTGTCTATAGGTCTCTTTATGAGTGTCTACGGGTCTCAATGTGAGTGTATATGGGTCTATGTGAGTGTCTTATGAGTCAGTGTGAGTGTCTATGTGTCTCTGTGTGAGTGTATATGAGTCTGTGTGAGTGTCTATGGGTCCCTCTGTGTCTATGGGTCTCTGTGTGAGTCTATGGGTCTCTATGTGAGTCTACTGGTCTCTGTGTGAGTCTACGAGTCTCTGTGTGAGTCTATGGGTCTCTGTGGGAGTCTATGGGTTTCTGTGTAAGTCTACGAGTCTCTGTGTGAGTTTATGGGTCTCTTTGTGAGTCTATGAGTCTTTGTGTGAGTCTATGGGTCTCTTTGTGAGTCTATGGGTCTTTGTGTGAGTCTATGAGTCTCTTCGCGAGTATATGGGTATCTGTGTGAGTCTATGGGTCTCTTTGTGAGTCTATGGGTCTCTTTGTGAGTCTATGGGTCTTTGTGTGAGTCTATGGGTCTCTTCATGAGTCTATGGGTCTCTGTGGGAGTCTATGAGTCTCTGTGTGAGTCTATGGGTCTCTGTGTGAGTCTATGGGTCTCTGTGTGAGTCTATGAGTCTCTGTGTCTCTGTGTAAGTATGTAGCCAACCACGCTAATCGTAACCTCCAGCGACACCTGCGCAGCACAGACAGAAGCACCCGGCTTCAATTGCCAACTTTGGCGCTTTTCTGCGTGAAGTTTGTGATGATCGTCCCTTGTTATCTCGTCAGTGTGAAAGTGAGTGTGCATCACACATCGCATCGCACGGCGCTTTCGGATGCACTTCTGCGACCGTCTGGAACGCTCTTCCTTCTGATATTAGCCACTGGGAGCTGTGCACTTTTAAATCATCGTCTAGATCAGGGGTCCTCAAACTACGGCCCGCGGGCCACATGCGGCCCGCCGAGGACATTTATCCGGCCCATGGTCACTAATTGGGTTGCGCTGGTGAGCACTAATTGGGCTGCGCTGGTGAGCACTAATTGGGCTGCGCTGGTGAGCACTAATTGGGCTGCGCTGGTGAGCACTAATTGGGCTGCGGTGGCGAGCACTGATTGAGCTGCGGCGGTGGGCACTGATTGAGCTGCGGCGGTGGGCACTCATTGGGCTGCGTTGGTGAATGGTTCAATGGGCCAATTGACTGGACTTGCCCCCCAGGCCTAAGGCTGCCAGCCCTCCCCTGGCTGCGCCTGACTGGCTCTCCTTCCCTCAGCTCCCTCACTTGCCCCTCGGCTCCACTTCCAGTGATATCCCTGTGTGCTGGGAATGTAGATCCCCTGTGTGCTGGGGATGTAGATCCCCAGCACACGCACCGCTGAGTAAATGATAGAGGGGTAATAACAGAGTGATCTCTGATCTCTGGAGGGGCTGCCTGCTGTTTTCCCGTGCTGGTCAGTGACAGACAGCCGAGAAGTAGGAAACCCAATTTAAATGACAGTAAGTGCATTTATATTCTGATTGCTATTCAGTTGTATGAAGTTATATGTTGTATGTTGTGTAAGCCCCGGTTCATACTGTTGCGATCTCTGAGCAGTGCGAGTTCAGCCATGTGCTTGTATGGCTGAACTTGCATTAGATTCGGAAGAAAAAAGGCACACGTGCCTTATTTTATCCTGCAGTGGAATCGGATCGCATGGGTCTTCTCCCCCATGCGATCAGATTCCTATGCGAGTTCGCAGATCGCATTGCGATCTGTGAACAAAATAATAATAAAACTGCAGGTGTAATTAACTTTTTAATGGCACCCGCACCAGTGTGAGCCTGGGGTTAAAGCGGAGTTCCCCCAATCAGACTGCATTGATGGGCAGTGCAGTCTGTATGTCTCTGTGTGGGCAAAGTTATTGCTGGTATATTGTTTTTGTAGCGCTGTATATATATTGGTATTTTACTAATAGCAATTTTGACTGCCTAGGAAACAATGATGTCAAGAAATAGAAAAATTGACTCGGAGTGTAGGATATTCAAAGAACAGTGGACTTATGATTACTTTTTCATGCAGTACAAGGAAAGAGCTGTGTGTCTGATATGCCAGAATATAGTGTCTGTGTTCAGAAAATACAATTTACGTCGACACTATGAAACTCAACATTAAGATAAATATGATTGCTTGGTCGGAGAAGTGAGAAAAGATAAAATATTAAAACTGAAAAATACATTAACAACTCAGCAAAATACTTTTGTGAAGCAGAAGCAGCTAAATATGTCATCACTGCGAGCAAGTTTTCAAGTTGCCAAGCTAATAGCGTGCACTGGCAGACCATTCGTGGAGGGAGAATTTGTTAAAGAATGCCTTCTTTCTGTTGCCAAAGAGATGTGTCCAGATAAGGCCGATTTATTTAGTACAGTGAGTCTTTCAGGACCTACAATTACACGGAGGATTGAAGAAATGGGAGACAATTAGCATCAGCATTTGCAAAACTCCACAAAAAAACTTTCCTATTTTTCCTTGGCACTCGACGAAAGCAATGATGTTCGTGATTCTGCACAACTTCTAATTTTTATTCGTGGGACGAATGACTATTTCGAAGTCATCGAAGTCACAGAAGAGCTTGCTGCACTGCAAAGCATCAAAGGAACAACTACAGGAGAGGATATCTATGAAAAGGTTTGCCAAACTGTGAATGGTTTGGAGCTGAACTGGGTTAAACTAGCCAGTGTGACAACTGATGGTGCTCCTAGCATGGTGGGGTCTAAGAAAGGAATAATTACTCGCATTAACCAAGAGATGGACAAACATAACCATTCTCATCCAATAGCCATACACTGCCTCATCCACCAATAAGCGCTGTGTAGTAAATCACTGAAGTGGGACTCTGTTATGAAAATTGTGGTATCTTGTGTTAACTTCATTAGAGCTCATGCACTAAACCACAGACAATTTCAGGAATTTCTGTCTGAGCTAAATGTTGACTATGAAGATGTTCTGTACCACACAGAAGTCCGTTGGCTGAGTCGAGGGAGAGTTTTGAAACGTTTCTATGACTTACTTCCACAGATTACAGCTTTTCTGCTTTCAAAAAACAAAGAAGTACCAGAGCTCAATGATGCAGAATAGAAATGGCACCTTGCCTTTCTGACAGATGTAACAGAGCTACTCAACAGTTTCAATGTGCAACTTCAAGGAAAGAGGAAGCTCATCTGTGATATGCAATCACATGTCAAAGCATTTGAAGTAAAATTAGGCCTCCTCATCAAACAAGTGAAGGAGGAAAACTTCTGCCATCTTCCCACAACTCAAAATCTGTTAGCGGAAAAACCATTGGTTGCATTCCCAAACAAAACATGTGTGGATTCACTGGAAAAATTGCAAAAGGAGTTCCAATTTAGATTTAAAGAGCTTCATCTCCATGAACAGGACATACAGCTTTTCCGTAACCCATTTTCTATTGACATTGAAAATGTGGATACAATTTACTAAATGGAACTGGCTGAACTGCAGAATTGTGACTCTCTGAAAGACGCATTCAAGTCAAGCAGCCTTCATAATTTCTATGCATCTCTCCCCTCTGAGACATATCCTCATCTCAGGAACCATGCACTCAAAATGGCAACCATCTTTGGCAGCACTTATGTCTGTAAACAGACTTTTTCCAGAATGAAACATTTGAAATCTCCAACCAGATCTAGACTAACGGATGCACACTTGCATCACTTGTTACGACTAGCAGTGACAAATATGGAACCGGACATTGACCATCTCATTAGCCAAAAGCAGGCCCATAGTTCCCATTGAAATACTGGCAAGTTTGTTGATTTAACTTTACTTGTTCTTCATTTTAAATATTGTATTTGTTCCCGTTTTGTTTCTTCACTTCAAAATAAGATATATGCAGTGTGCATAGGAATTTGTTCATAGTTTTTTTAACTATAGTCCGGCCCTCCAACGGTCTGAGGGACAGTGAACTGGCCCCCTGTTTAAAAAGTTTGAGGACCCCTGGTCTAGATTGACAACCTCGTTTCTTTAAATCTGCTTTTCATGTTTAGTTTGCTGTCCTTCCCCCACACGCTCCGATTATCACGGTTGGCTATGTACGGCACGAAAGGAGTTCAATGTACATATGTACGTATATTCTCCCCCTGTTCTGCATGGGATTCCTCCTCCTGTAGCTAAACCCACAATTCTAAAAAAATACCTGCAAATTATTCATTTGGGATCACCAATACCAATACCCGCCATTTGCCACTAAGTGACGGTAACGTCACCACTAGGCCTGTGCCAGACCAGGTGCACTTTGAGGTCACGTGAAGTGCCAAAGGCTCGCCGGACGGAGGTCACGGGACAGACCCAGCAGGTGCCATGGGTTAGCTGACTGAGATATACTGGCAGATGCACCACCAGCAGTGCTCCCCTACTGTGCCAACTTGGGATCACACAGCAGCAACAGCAGCAGGAGCAGCAGCAGGAGCAGCAGCAGGAACAGCAGTAGTGGTAGTGGCAGCGGTAGCAATAGCAACAGTAGCGGCAGCGGCAGCGATAGCAACAGCGGTAGCGGTAGAAGTAGCGACAGCAGTAGCAGCAGTAGCAGCAGAGTTAGCAGGAGCAGCAGTAGCGGTAGCGGTAGCAGCGGCAGTAGGGGTAATAGTGGTGGCAGGAATAGCAGCGGCAGCAACGGTAGTAGTGGTAGCAACAGCAGCAGTAACAGTAGCGGTAACAATAGCAGTAGTAGATGCAGCAACGGTAGTAGCGCTAGCAGTAGCGGCAGCAGCGGTAGTAGCGGTAGTAGCGGTAGCAGTAGTAGCAGCAGTGGCAGCAGCAGCGATAGTAGTGGTAGTAGCAGTAGCGGTAGCAGTAGTAGTGGTAAAAGCACTAGGAGTAGTGGTAGCAGTAGTGGTAGCAGTAGTGGTAGTAGCAGTAGTAGCAGTATTAGCAGCAGTAGGGGTAGTAGCGATAGTAACCATAGCAGTATCAGTAGTAGCGGTAGTAGCGGTAGTAGCAATAGTAGCAGTAGCGGTAGCAGCAGTAGTGGAAGTAGCAGTAGTAGTGGTAGCAGTAGTAGAAGTAGTAGCAGTAGTAACAGCAGTAGCAGTAGTAATGGTAGCAGTAGTAGTGGTAGTAGTGGTAGTAGCGGTAGCAGTAGCGGTAGTAGCAGTAGGAGTGTTTGTAGGGGTAGCAGCGGTAGCAACCTCGCGGTCGATGCGGTTGAACTGCCAGGGCCAGGCGACGTTGTAGAGGAAGGGTCGCAGGTCAAAGCGGTTGTCGTCGGGGCCGTAGCTCTCGGCGTGGTAGGCGGGCGTCAGCGTCGTCATCTTGTGCCGGTTGAGGGCGTACGAGCGGAAGAAGTGCTTCACCCTCTCAGCCACCTTCGTCGTCGCGACCACAATCACAACAAGAACGAGGATCACCATCGACGGACGTCACCTTCACTTAAGTCAGTTCGTTCTATTTAGCTTATTCTTCTCTCTTGGTCTTTCCTTTATCCTTATTCTTACAAGGCGCCTTGAGATATTAGTGGAAGGCAATACATATTAGCTTTTATTTATTACTTAAAATATTTGTTAGTAATAATGTTTTCTTATATTTTATATTTATTATATTTTTGTTTACCATATCAGTCCTTATTTTTTTTTGGGCAGCGGGCCCTCACACGATACTCAACACGCGATACCCCTGAACCACCCCCACACCCAGAGCCACCCCCACCCCTTGACTCCTGAACCACCCCCCCACACCCAGAGCCACCCCCACCCCTTGACCCCTGAACCACACCCAGAGCCACCCCCACCCCTTGACCCCTGAACCATCCCCACACCCAGAGCCACCCCCACCCCTTTACACCTGAACCACCCCCACACCCAGAGCCACCCCCACCCCTTGACCCCTGAACCATCCCCACACCCAGAGCCACCCCCACCCCTTGACACCTGAACCACCCCCACACCCAGAGCCACCCCGACCCCTTGACCCCCGTGGCTGCTGCCCTGTGGTCTCTGTGGTCTCCGTGTCGGGAGTGGCTGCTGCTCTGTGGTCTCTGTGGTCTCCGTGGCGGGAGTGGCGGTGCATCACCGACCTGCGCTGGAGAGCAGCGCTGGCTCCACGCGGTGAGCAGCTTGCAGAACATGCTGTAGGGGCCGCACTTGTCAATCTTGCGCAGGCGGCCGAACACGGACAGCTCTGCGTAGCTCATGCCCATGTCCTCCTGTGTGGGTGTGTGTGTGCGTGTGTGTGTGTGCGTGGGTATGTGTGTGTGTGCGTGTGTGCGTGTATGTGCGTGCGTGTGTGTGCGTGTGTGCGCGCGTGTGTGCGAGTTGGCACAGTAGGGGGCACAGGTGGTGCATCGTCCAATCATCTCAGTCAGTTAACCAATGGCACCTGGGTCTGTACCGTGGCCTCCTGCCATGTACATAGCCTACCACAAGCACCATCGGGATGTCACCGCCACTTAGTGGGGAATGGCGGTTGTTGTTGTTGTTTGCAAGCGTGTACATGTGTGTGTGTGTGGGGAACGGTAGTGTAGCGGTTAGCAAGCTGTGCTACGAACCTGGCGACCCGGGTTCGATTCCTGCTCATGGCCAACACCGGTGACGATTATCTGAACCGGTCCTGGGCCTTCCCAAGGTCGACTCAGCCTCAAATGAGTACCTGGTGCGATGTGTAAACATCGCCACTAGGGAGACAAAGGCGGCCGGGCGTGGTGTTGACCACCCACCACCTCGTGTGCCGTGCTGTTCACTAACAGCACTTGCTCCAAGTATGTTAAGGCTATATAGGGATCTTTGTTTGTTATGGGGAGTGGTAGTGCAGTGGTTAACGCGCCCGCGATGACCCATGTTCGATTCCCGCAGTGACGAATATATATCGCCACCCGGGAGACAAAGGCGGCCGGGCGTGGTGCTGGCCACCCACCCCCTGTTGCGGCCCTGTTAGAATGTTTTGGCCAAATCTGTGAATGAGGTTTTGTGTCGTTAACCCCATCGCCAACACCACCACCACCTGGCACAGACAATCAGTACGGGGTTTGTCACGTAACGCAACACGTGGCCAATTGAGTTGCTTAGTTCAGCACTAACCGGTCGTTGTGTGTTGGGAGAGTAAACCCACAACAAAGTTGACAAACCAAGGAGCTGGGGACGTTTCGCCGGTAATTACAACAACGACCAGCCTCGTCAGGCAACAACAGCGATCTAACCCCAAAAAAGAAAAAAAAATCTCTTTCGTAGATAACTATTAGTCGTGAAAGCCTGAACCACTACTTCCCACTACTGCTGCTGCTGGGCATTAAACCGTGCCCGAGTTGTCCAAAGGTGCGGGAGGAAAAGCAAAGTGCCCGGAGAAACTCCCCCACGGGTGCAAAGGGGGAGGAGGTGCCGCCCAATCCCACCCACAACCACCGTTTCCCTGCGATCTGTGCTCCTACATTTGTTTGGCCAACTCCAACCCATGAGGCCTGATGCCGATGATGACAATGATGACGATGATGATGACGACGATAAGGATGACGGTGACGATGATGACGATGATTATGATAATGACGATAATGATGATGATAGTGATGATGTTGCTGATGATAGTGATGACGTTGCTGATGACGATGATGACAACGATGACGACGATGATGATGATGATGACGATGACGACGATGATGATGATTATGGCGATGATGATGATGACGAAGACCAGGCTTCACTGCAACAAACTTTCCTCCTCTCCACACGAAGCAGTCACTTCGTTTCCGCTCCTGCCTCGAGACTCACTTTTTGTTCCCCTAGCTCAGCCCACGCCCCCCCCCCCACCTTTAATCGCCCCTCCCTCCTCACCACCACCACCACCATCGTTCCTGCTCCCTCTTCATATTCCCATTAAATTGCTGCCGCTCATTCAATCAATTCATTCATTCCATCCATTCGTTCATCGTCATTTGCTCTCGTCAATTTAGCTTCTATCTAATTTACGCATCATTGATTTGGTGGCTAAGAGATGTTAACTACCTCACCTGGTATGCAGGAGGTCATGGGTTCGATCCCGACTCTAATGCCTGTTGTATATTTGGAGATTGCGTGTTCTCGCTCTCTCTCCCTGTGGTGGTCTCGTGGATTTTTCTCCGAGTCCTCCGATTTTCCCCCCTCTGCGTTTAAAATCAACATCACGCTTTTAGAGTATTTGGCCGCTGCTGTAAATGTCCACGTGACGATGATAGCGCTAAGCCCACTTCGTTGAGCCATCATTTGGGATAGCCGGGTCGCTTCTAAAAGAGAGCAACAAAGGCTGAGTAGGGCCTTACCTGGTCCTCTGGGTTTTTCCCACCACCTTTAGAATCAAAGTGCATTGAGAGCATTTGGCTGCTATAAATTTACACAAGATAAGGCACTCTGTTGAGCCATCATTTGTGATGACCAGCTAGCTTCTGATAAAGAGCTACACAGCTCAGTGGGGCCTTAGACCTGATAAAATAAAAAAAAGAGTTTAGTTTTAAAATAGTTAAATTAATAGTAAGTGTGTGTGTCTGGTGAAGTGTGTGTGTGCGTGTGAGCGTCATCCCAAGTTGGGAGAGGCGGTGCAGCGGTTATGCCAGTGGGTAAGGCGTGTGGGAGACTAAACTCCTCTTTTCAAAACAGTTTTTGTATTATTTTACCAGGTGTGAGGCTGCTATGATTGTCCACGCGAGGACCGTAAGGCAACTCGTTGGGCTTTCATTTGTGAGGCCAAGGTCGCTTCCTCAAAAATACATCGACAGTAGTGGTGCCTGACATCTGGTCAAAGAAAAAAAATGGATTCGCCCCAATGACTTCCTCGCATCTGGGTGTGCGCGTACCGCTCTTAATTGTCCGTGAAGCTCCTCTCAACGCGCCGGGTGAATTACGCTAAGACTGCCTGATGGGTCACTGGCTCAGCGACGAGGTGAGAGGTGGAGGTGGTGGTGGTTGGGTGGTGGTGGTGCGGTCTCTCTCTCCCTCTCTCTCACCTCGTCCGTCTGAGTTGTGTGACCGTCTGCCAGCGGTTCCAGCTCAGCCGTGGGGGGCGCCTCCAGGATGCTGGGAACACCACACGGTCTGGCTCACGGCACTTACACGACACGTTGCTACAGCTGTTGCTGTCACAGCAGCTCAGCAGTCAGTATGAAAGACTCAACACAGAAGATCGCTTGGGTTTGATCTTCTACGAAGCTGCTCACGGTCCACTCAAAACTGCATCCACTGCACAAACCATGGCAGCAGAGGCGGATAGCTGATGCACAAATGTAAAGTTAAAAACTCTCCAGGAGTAGTGGTGCAACTGTGGTCATCTATAACAGACCGTACAGCGTATAAACAAGAAATACGAAGGAGACATCATGGCATTGATGATGATACACGACTACTCTGCTTGCTCCTAACGCGGTTATCTGACTTGTCCACTTGAATGTGAAATTGTAGTTATTGCGCTGCACCTACATCAGCCGTACGAAAGAAGAAGTGGTCAGCTCACCCCACTTTCTAAAATCTATAAACAATTTTTGTATTTTACCAGGTATAAAGCCCCAGGTGTAAGGTTATTGATAGCAGCAGTGCTATTCTCGACTATTTTATTTTACCAGGTAAGGCCCCACTGAGCTAGAAAGCTCTTTTTCAGAATCGACCTGGCCATCACTAATGATAGGTCAACTGAAGTGGCTTATCGCATGGAAATTTATAATACTCTAAATGCATGTTGATTCTAAAAAATCCACATGACCACGGAGAGAGAGAGTCACACACAAACTCCAAATATACAGTAGGCGTCAGGGTCGGGATCGAACCCACGACCTCATTATATTAGGCAAGGCAGTTAACATCTTGCCACCGAAACACCCCAAATGTTCCGTTGACCTGAGGGTTATATTTATGGTTCACCAAATTTTCCAAGACCATGAAACTTTTCAAGAAATAAACTAAGCCTACATTTTAACTGTGATATAAGAAATAATATACAACAGGTCGTGGGTTCGATCACGACCACGAAACCTAGTTGTATATTTGGAATTTGCGTGTCTCCCCGTAGTCGAGTGAATTTTTCTCCGGTTCCTCTGGTTTTTCCCTCCACATTTATAATCAACACCACACGTTTACAGAGTACTTGCAGGAAGTACCCGGCATTGTCCGGGGGAAAAATATATTTCAAAACTTGTCTTCTCTTAAAAGCATAACATATACATACACAAATACGAAGCTATTGTGAAAGTCCGGCATTCCGTTTGTCTGTCCATTTGTCCGTCAACAAAATTATAAGAGGCTTGCAGAAGTCCAAAAAGTAATAAAAAGTGGGGGTAAATAGTTGATTTAAAAGGTTTCCGAAAATTGTCGACCCCCCCGTCTCAAAAAATATTTTTACCCCCCTGCAGGCATATATACCTACACATCCTACACACAATAGAGTGGGTATTTCTAGTGACTCTATAGTAATGGCTGAGCTCTGCAGTAGTATCTGGCTCTACAGTTGTATCTACTGACTTACAGTAGTATCTATTGAGCACAGTAGTAGCTACTGACAGTATAGTAGTATCTACCGACTCTATAGTAGTAACTACTAACTCTATAGTAGTATCTGCTGACTCTATAGTAGAAACTACTGACTTTGCAGTAGTATCTAATAACTATAGGAGTATCGACTGAATCTATAGTAGTATCTATTGACTCCATAGTGGTATTCCACCAACTACAGTAGTAACTACTAACTCTATAGTAGTATTTGCTGACTCTACAGTAGTATCTGCAGACTATATAGAAGTATCTGCTAACTCTATAGCAGTGTAGTGGGTTAAACTGAGTCGCAGACGTTGTCTTGATAGCAACACAATTAATTACATCAACCTAGATTTGAAGTTTTCGTGACTGCAGGGATCCATACTCTTTGGTTCTTTCGGTAAAGTCACGTAGGTATAAAATAAATTAAATCACGACATTTCGATTGCAACACAAGCAACCATCATCAGGTGGAAACCCACAGCAAGAACATTTCTTGCTGTAGTTTTCCCACCTGATGATGGTTGCTTGTGTTCCAATCGTAACGTCGTGATTTAATTTATTTTATATTATGACATCAACTCAACACAACATAACGTAACCTACACTCGGGTGTTGAACGCCCATCTAACCACGCTACGGCAGAACTAGACACGGTCCCGCTATCCCGGTCCGGACCACGAGCTGGATCCCGGACCGCGTGGCTAGAAGCTTCTTCAACCTGACGTGGATTTTCACTCACTAACAGTCAAGAACCCGGAGCCCCTCACGGGGGGCCCCCGTTATATCAGCCTGGGCTGGGGCTGGCTCCGCCCTTCGCCCCGCCCACCTTCTAGATCTCTCGAGCTCTTTCCCGAAGGCTCCTGAGAGCTCCTCTATACCATGTGACCCCTCAGCGGCCCCCGGGTGAGCGAGGGGAGCTTTTAGCAGCCGGGGATAAGTTAGCCACACTTAGAAACAGAACCAGTGTATAATAAAGTATTTAATAAATATGTTGCCTCTTAAAACAGTGTGTGCGCTTCAGTTGACACACTACAGTAGTATCCACTGACTATAGTAGTAACTACTAACTCTACAGTAGTATCTACTGACTATAGTACTATCTACTAACTATATAGTAGTATCTACCGACTTGATAGCAGTATATACTGACTATAGTAGTATCTACTAACTCCATAGTAGTATCTACTATCACTACAGTAGTATATACTGACAATAGTAGTATCTACTAACTGTAGTATCTACCGACTTGATAGCAGTATATACTGAGTCTATAGCAGTATCTACTAACTCTATAGCAGTATCTGCTATCACTACAGTAGTATATACTGACTATAGTAGTATCTATTAACTCTACAGTAGTATCTACCTACTCTACAGTAGTATCTACCTACTCTATATTCGTATCTACCGACTCTATAATAGTATATATCGACTCTATAGCAGTATCTACTATCTATACAAAGTGCCGTGGTGAGGCCTAGTCCAATGGAGAGCCGCTGGGCTCGCCTAGATTGCCCAGCCGGCCAAGGTGGCAACTTGGTCCGCTGGGGCTGGGCTGTCCAAGCAAAATATCGAGGAACGGGAGTGTGTTATTCACCTACATTTCCGTGGTGAACTGGATGGCCGGGTTTGTGAATTGAGATGATTTAGAAAATAATTAAGTATATCTTTACCATGTGGCCAGACAACCAAAGTGTCATCAAGATATCTCAACCAAAAAGATGGTTTTAATGTACTCGAGACAAGTGCTCTTATTCTTTGGTTCTTTCGGTTAAGTCACGTCTAAAGATAAAATAATAAATAAAAAGCATATTACTATTATTATTTTATCTTTAGACGTGACTTAACCGAAAGAACCAAAGAATAATTCCTGCAGTCACGAAAGCTCCATAATTAAGATTACAAGTGCTCTTGTTTCAAAGTTTTCCATGTACAGATTTGCTATAGCAGGAGATAAAGGAGAGCCCATTGCGGATCCTTCCTTTTGTTTAAAGAAATCACCTCTCTCTTGACTTGAAGCTTTCGTGACTGCAGGAATCCATACTCTTTAATTATTTCGGTAAAGTCACGTAGGTAGAAATAAAGTCAAATAAAACAAATCACGACGTTTCAATCGCAACACAAGCAATCTTCATCAGGTGGAATGACCACAGCAAAAAAATGCTGAAGTAGGCGAGAGAGCTGCCGTGGCAAGATGTTATATAGGTAAGAAAGGGGGAGGCAAGGGGGGGGCGGAGAGAGAGAGGGGGGGGGAGGGTGTGGGGTAGAGGAAGGGGGGGGGGGCTGCGTAAGCACTAGGGGAAGAAGACGTGAGGCTGGGGGGGGGAAGTGGGCAGGGATAGAAGTGGGAAGCTGAGTGTGGGACACGGGGGGGGAGGGTGGGACACGGGGGGGGGGGGGAGGTGAAATGTACTAGTAAATCAGCAGGTACAATGGAAACAACCACAAGCAGTTAAGGCATTACCTGGTTAATAACATCCTTCCAATGATTTTTCAATTTGTATCCATCTTTTCGGTTGAAGTTATGTCTATGTTTATATATCTGGATGGCTTCATGAACAAACCTTTGAAGGTTTGCAGTGTACCTTGGTCTTGGAAAAAACAATATCATGCGAGCCCACAGCATTATAACAATGGTCAGCTACGGCAGAGGTATTGGTCCTGCTGTGTTTCAGATCTGCTTTATGTTCGCGAACACGGTCCGAGACATGTCGTTTCATTTCCCAAACGTAACTGCTACTGCAGGTACAACTCAATTTGTAGACTCCAGGGTATTGCATGTCAGGAATGACATCCTTCACAGATGGGATTAGATCACAAATTTTGTGTACTGCATTGAATCAGGACCTGAATCTTGTGTTTGTTTAAAATTTTGGAAATCTTTTTGGTAACATCGCTATGTATGGTAAAGTGATGGTTTTGAATGGCTTCTCATGAGTTTGTTCTCCATAGTTGGAGAAACAGCTTTGCAAATAATGCGGTCCGAGTATACATTCATCTTGAGGGCTTGGTGTACGTGTTCCAGTTCACTGGCTAGGTGGTGTTGGTCGGAGATGCAGTGGGCCCTATGGTGTAGTGTTTTGATGAGGGAATTCTTCTGGGCCGGATGGTGGTGGGAATCAGGTTTTAGATAGGAATCTGTGTGGGTGGTTTTCCTGTAGACAGAGTGTCCCAACAAGCCATCAGGCCTCTTCTCAACCAAAACATCCAGGAATGGTAGCTTACCATCCTTTTCCACTTCCATGGTGAATTTGATGGATGGGTATATGGAATTGATGTGGTTGAGAAATTGGTTCAATGTTGGCAGGCCATCTGGCCAAATGACGAAAGTGTCATCTACGTATCTCTTCCACAAGAATGGACGTAGGGTGGATGTCTGGATGGCATCTGTTTCAAATTTCTACATGAAAACATTCGCTATCACTGCTGATAATGGGCAACCCATGGGGCTACCTTCATTTTGTTTGTAGAAAGTACCATTCCAGGTGAAGTAAGTGTTGGTAAGTGTTGTGTCTATACCCTTTTTTTTATTAAGAACAATTCGAAATTTT